AACAATGGACCCAATGAATTCCTTTGAAAAGAAAATGGATCTCCCTCTTCTTTCCCACAGAAGAAAGCCGATATTTATGCTTTTATAACAAAGAGTGAAGCTTATTGTTTATCGGTCATGTGGAAGCTCTTGAATTCATTAGTATTAAGCTCAAATGTTTTATAAGGGGAGGAGGGAGTTGTCATCTACTTTCAACACTTCCAGTGTCAGAAATAATTGTGCTTTACAGCAAAATGGCAGTCAGAAGAAAGAGGTGCAGAAATACCAACTTTAATTAAACCCTTTCTTTCAAATACATTTCACAGTTTATATGCAAGAATAATTTATCACTGGGTAAGTGAACACTTAATACTTGGCGTGGTGGAAAGTGGGTGGGGCACTTGCTGTACCATATGCTCTCTTTCCTATTTCTCCGTGACTTCTGTAGGCAACAGCCAGTGTGAAGTTAAAGTCTGTGGTTCCCAGCATTCATTCCTTAAACTTGTGCCTGCTTGGGGATCAGCATGGAATACATAGCGGTGATGAAGTTAGAAATCCTTGCTTCAAGGGCATTGGGAATGATGTCAGTGGGAGTGGGATTATTTGGAAAAGCAGAGAATGCACGATTGGAAGGACGTAGTGACCATGACAGAAATGGCCTTGGCTGCCTTTGAGTTGATTCTACCTCACGGCGGCCCTTTGGGCGTCAGAGTTGATTTCTCCCATACAGTGTGCAAAACTCAAAAATTCACTTGGAAAGGGTAGAACCTCTCCATTTGGATTTCCGGGGCAAGCCAATTTTATGGGAGCAGAAAGGCTTATCTGTTTCCCTGGGAGTCACTGGTGGAGTTCAGTTGCCGACTTTGCGGTGGGTCAGCTGCCCCAGGTGCAACCTACTATGACTCTAGGCTTCCTCAGGTGCTCCCAGGTGGGGCCTATCCCTAGGGTACCTCTGGGTAGGCCCAGACTCCCAACCTTCCAGCCAATAGCCGAGCATTTGACTGTTTTATGCCACCCAGATGCCCCCTATTGCATTGAACCTGTGGAAGTCATTGAGGAAAGGAAGGTGGGCTCGATGGCCTTCCTATGTATACTTTCTATGTGTACTTTCATCAGAATGTTTTAAAATTTTTTTAAGACAATAGCAAGTTTATCTTGAACTGAGATAACATTGAATCAAGAGAGGATACCATAAATGAATCAGGGAAAATGCCCACGATTTTCTTCTGAACTCCAGCGACCAATAAGCAAATAAACACCAGACGCCCACCTTTAGAAAGTGTCACCCCACTGCTTCTCCTCTGGCAGAGTGAAGCGGGGGATGAGATGAGGGCCCAGGAGGAGTGAGAGGCAGGGTCTAGACCATACCACCAGCTTCCTGAAGAGACCCTGACAACTTCCCATTGCACCATACTACCTCCCTTAGCAGCTTATCCCTCCTTTCATTCAAATGCCCGGATTCTGAGGTGAAGCTCTCAAATGCTGCTGCTGCCCCTTGGGTGTTTCTTTCTCCACAACATACCCTTGACCATATCCCAAAGTGCCTGTGTGCACCAAACCCTAAAGGTCCCAGCTTCCGCCACCGTAAAAAGGGACGAACCAGAAGACAAGGTGGTTTTCAGTGCGCTAGCAACAATCAGGTCGTTAGCCACCCTGCTACGCTTCCCAGACGCCATTTATCTGGGTTACAGACACCACAGAAGAGCTTGGGCTTGGAAGGACAGAGTCAGTGAAGTGCCAGAGTGATTCAGGCCATCGTCCATCAGATGTGTGCTGATGGTCTGCTTTGGATTCAGAAAGGAAAAGGTCCTGTCTCAATATGTTAGCATTCCAGCCATTGCCATATTGTCTAGTTTCTGCTAAGGCCAGAAACTGATTAACTGGCTAAACTCACTGCTGCCCAAGTTGTAGCAACTCCTAGTGACCTTGTAAGACAAGGTGGAACCGCCCCTGGGAGTTTGCAAAACTGGATCTCGTTACAGGAGTAGAAAGCCTTTCTCCATAGGAGTGGCTGGTGGTTTCGAACTGCTGACCTTCAGGATCACAGCCCAATGTGTAGCCACTGAAATTCATGCAGGGACTTCAAGTAGTGGAAAAATGACTATCTTTTCACCACTCCTTTTCTGAATCAGCTCCTAGGTTCGCTCACATAACTCTGTTTTTTTAAGTCATTTTATCGGGGACTCTTACAGCGCTTATAACATTCCATTCATCAAGTGTATCAAGTATATTTGTACATTTCTTGCCATCATCATTTCCAAAACATTTTCTACTTGAGCCCTTGGTATCAGCTCCTCTTTTTCCCCCTTGATCAATTATATATTACTATTATTTCATATCATATACTGTCCATTGTCTCCCTTCACCCATGTTTCTGTAATTTGCCCCCTTTGGGGGATGGGAGGCGATGTCTCTAATCTTGTGATGGGTTCTCCCTTTCTCCCCCTTCCCCCTCTCTGACCATGCCCCTACCCTCATAATATCCATACTCCCCCTACTGTTCCTGAGCAGTTTATCTTTCCTGAATCCTGTTCCTTCTCTCAGAGCACCATCTCATTCTCTTTCTTGGAGTGGCCCCATCGTCAGGACGAGCCCCCTCTTTCTGCTGTGGGGAGACCTTCCTTTCCACCTGCCCAGCATCCGCCCACTGCCCCGAGTGTGTGCTCAGCCCTCTCTGTGCAGCAGTTCTTACCTACCACCTGCTCCTCAGAGAAGACTGCACAAGGCCTCGGAGCCATTCGTGCGCTTGTCCTAGGTCACCTGGATTGTAGGCTCTAGGTACCATGTGCCGAATCCAGTCTGTCTCCTCCCCCAGTGGATCCACTATACCGAGATCCATGCCCTGTGTTTCCTGCCCACCTCCTTCATGCATCCAGGTAACAAGGAACCGGAGAAAGATGCTTTTTGCTTGGTTTGAACATTTTTATCATGAATTAAGTGGTGGTTTGACATTTCAGATCATCAATTTCATAGTCAACTGTTTAAGATCTTTTTAACAGCCCCCCCCCACGCAATAGCTTACCCTTCCCACTCCTTCTTCAATATCTCTTCTTCCTCTTGTTGATTATCATCTTCCCCTTCACCTAAGTCTTTAACTGCCAACCCTCTAGCCAACTGCTTCCTCTTCTCTGCCGTGCCCTCCTCCCCTTTGGTAACCTCCAAAATCTATACCCTTTGACTTGAACGTCGTCTTGGTCATTGTTCCTTATAACAGTCATGTCATACAATATTTGCCCTTTTGTGATTGACTCATTTCCCTCAGCATCATGTTCTCCTGGTCCAGCCATGCCATGAGGTGCTGCCTGGCTTCATGGTTGTGTTTTCAGTGATGTGTAGTTGTCCATTGTATCTATGGACCGCAGTTTCTGTAACCATCCTTCAACGATGGGCACATGGGTTGTTTCCATCTCATTGCCATTATCAGCAGCGCTGCGATGAGAACCATGCTGTTGTGCTGCTAATTTCTGTTGAGTTGATGTCATCTCATGGTGACACTGTGTCGAGGGCAGAACTGCTCCACGAGATTTAAAAGACTGTGTTCTTTCAGCAGCACATCATCAGACCTGTCTTCAGAAGAACCTCTGGATGGGTTCCAAGTGCCCAGCTTTCGACTTGTAGTCTAGTACTTAACTACTTATGCCAACAAAGGACTCCTGTCAAAAATGATAGTCATTCCTCTATTGATCAATAAACTCATGGATTTCATATAGATACTTCAGTGCTTAGAGAAAATCCTCATTATCAATAGGTCATCCTCACTAAACAATTTTCTGAGAACCCTCTCACTGTGGTGTGGTGGAGGGCGGAAAGGCATGGTCTGGTTTGGGAAGCCAGGGCATTCTAAGGAGAAAGGATGAGCGTGGAGGTTCTAAGCCAGAGAGGCAAGCCCGGGAAGTTCCTTAGGGGAGAATCGAGTTTCCAGCCGCAGCAAGAGTACGTCCCAGAACCTGCAGCAGGAAGGAGGAACTGGTGACAGAGCCAGCGTTCTGGGGGGTGGGTAGACATGAGTGCAGTTAGAAACCTAGAAGGAGTCTACAGAGTTGTTAGTGATCCATCTTCACTGTTGATGAGTGGCTGCCTCATGGTGGGTGTCGGAAACAAGCCATTTGGAGCAGTTGGCAAGGCCCCCCCCTAAAACGAATCATGGTTTTTTCTGGTTGGAGAGACTTGACATTTTCTATTATGAGACTTCCAGGCTAAGATAAGGTCTTTGGTTTTTTGGGGGGAAACATGAACCCTACAAGAGAAAATCTTACTCACTGAGTAAGTCAACCTCCAATGAGATGCAGACCAATTAATCTAGCAACCAAGTTTTGGATGACCACCTGTGGTCTCTGGGAATCTTCTCCCCACCTCCACGTATAGCGGTATCCGTGGCATTTTGGATTCTTTAATTCCACTTTCTGGGCATGCAGCACATAGCTGAGCATGCTGTACTGTGTGTGAGTTGCCTCAGGGCTTTGGGACTGCTGTTTCTTCTGCACAGTCACCCTGTCGTCTCACTTCATTCTCCAGCGATCCTCACTTTTGGATTGACCGAGCCATCACCTTCTCCCCTTAAGTGTTCACCACCCCCAGTAGGCATCTCGGGTCCTCCTCTCATCCCCCACAGCCTCTTAGGCTTCCCTGCCAGAAAGCATACCCCAACACCATTATGGTCAGTGCCTATAGAGGGGTTGGCACCCTGCTAGGCCACTAGCATCCATTACCCACTCAGTCCCTGTGCAACCTTGCAACAATTATCATTCACATTCCAAAAATAAGCAAGCAGGGCTCACAGAAGTCAGTAGTCTTCCTCAAAGCCGATAGCTAACAAGGGGTACACTAGGCACCCAAACCCACGTAGCAGCATTGCACGGCACATGCGTGTCCTCCTCACGATAGTCCCTGAGGTCTCACTTGGTGCACATGTTGATAAGCAGGAAGAGAGCAAAGGCCACGCTGCACACGCGGTTGTTGAATGCAATTGAAATGAAGAGGGTGGGGCCTGAGGCTAACAGGATCTCTTTCTGTGCTTCCAGAAGCCGCCTGGGAAAGTGGGCAGCCCTGATGGGATGTGTTCAGCGAGCAGAGACATTCCATTCCGAGAAGGATCTGCGTGACACGCCTGGGAGGCCACCGTCGTGAAAGCCATCACCTGGTTGGCAGAAGGGGTGACGGCCACATTCTCCTGTGCCTACCACGTAACCAAAAATGAGGGAGAACTACTGTTTACAAGCTGCCCTGCTGTGCCTGGGCATGCTGTGCCACAGCCAGGCCTTCGCCATGGAGCGGCGGAGCCACCTACGGCCCTCCTTGCACGGGCACCACGAGAAGGGGAAGGAGGGCCAGGTCCTGCAGCGCTCCAAAAGAGGCTGGGTGTGGAACCAGTTCTTCGTGATAGAAGAGTACACCGGGCCCGACCCTGTGCTCGTGGGCAGGGTAAGACTGCTCTGCCTCAGTATTTCCAGCCATCTCTCCTTCCACTCACCCATCTATCTATCCATCCATCCATCGACCCATCCATCCACATACCCATCCACCCATGCATCCACCCGTCCATCCATGCATGCATTTATCCATCTACCCATCCACCCATCCACCCACATCCCCACCCAACCACCTACCAATACATACATACCTACCTACATACATACACCCATCCATCCATCCATCTACCCATCCATCCACATACCCATCCATCCGTGCATCTACCCATCCATCCATCCATCTACCCATCCATCCATGCATCTACCCATCCATCCAGTCATGCATCTATCCATCCATCTACCCATCCACCCGTCCATCCATGTATGCATTTATCCATCTACCCATCCACCCATCCACCCACATCCTCACCCAACCACCTACCAATACATACCTACCTACCTACACACATACACCCATCCATCCATCTATCCATCCACACACCCACCCACTCATCCATCTACATTTGAAGGATGGTCATTTTTGAGTCCCATGGATTGTAACACTTAGTTGCTTGGGACATTTGAAAACATCATTCATATATATGTCGTTGATATTCTTGGAGAACCTTCAAACTAGCTTCACAACATTCTTTCTCAAGGTAGGGGACATTTCTTTTAGAAGAGTTATACCAAAGAAAGGGGTGTTTTTATGCTGTTAGAGCAGGAATAGAAAGATGTTGAGCAGACAAGGGAAAAAGAAACACAGGGAAGTTAACTACCGGAAGGATGCCCTAAGCAGAGGAGATGGATGAAGAGGCTTCACCCAAAGACCGAGGGGTTTAAGCTTGAATACTGGGGGAAGCATGCATGGGATTATTCAAATACAATTGCACCTTCTGCCTCAGGGAGTTTCTGAGTGGTGGACAGGGCGTGTTTGAGGGGGCAGGAGTAGCAGAAGGGGCAGGATGGGGAGAGCATTTCAGTAGCTTTGTGGAGCATGCTCTGGACATGGCTACTAACAGGAGGCCTAGAAGAGAGAGAGGTGAAGGGAAGATGCTCTCATGGAGAGTCTGGAAGTCAGGTTGGATGGAGGAATCGAGAAATAAAATGTTTGGATTCTCAGGGGTCCTCCTTCGGAGGCAGCACCATTAGTAAAAAGCTAGTTAGATGACTTGCTCCCCCAAGGTCTTTGATTTTATGACCTCGAGATGCCCAGAAAAGGTGACATTTTGCCCTCTTAAACTTGCAGATGTTGCCAGGAGAGAAAACGTTTACTTTGAGAACAGGCTGCGGCCTGTCGCTAGAATTAGGGATGGGCTGTGCTGCTCCAGCAACTGGTCCCCTGACTCCATGGAATAGCTTATCAAACTTTCTGTGGGTGTCACCTCATAGAAACTATTGTTATCGGTTGCACAAATCATCTGTGTTGGCGAGGGGAAATAAATATGACATTTACATTCAGGTTTCAATTCTGAAAACAGAGTAGGAAAAAATAATGAGCAGATTGTCTTATTCATTTCGTTGTTTGGCCATAAAAAAACCCAGGAAGAAATATATGTTTAATTCCCATAAAACTGCCCAAATATATCCAGCATAGCTGAAGCCCTGGGAACTGTTCCGTGTGAGGGTGCTCACCCAAAGGACGTATTGCATGCACTTCTTAGTTCTTTGTCCATAAGCCTAGGTGCGTCCAAGGCAGAGACTAGAAGCCTCGGTGCTACCTAGTTTAAAGCGTTTGGCCACGAATCAGAAGGCAGGTGGTTCAGACCTACCATAGCCACTCCACCGGGGAAAAGTGGGAATGGCTGTTCCGTAAAGATGGATGGCCTTGGAAATGCTGTGGGGGCAGGACTGCTCTGTCTAGTAAGGGTGTTAGCGAGCGGGTTCAGTGGATGACAGCAGCTCCTCTCCTACCCCACCCCTAAGACAGAGACACAAGCACACCCAGGTCCCCTGGGGCAGGGGTTCTTCCTGCTTAAGGAAGACGGGGCCACTCTGCTCGTCCACTGGAACCAGCTACTGGCTTCCTGTTCTACTCACACACGGCTTGACTTGCTAGGAACGTGTTAGCTATAGTCTCACAACAAGCCATAGCTTGTTCCCAATTACAAGTTCAGAAGGAATCCTTTTTCTTTCTCCATTGACACACTGCAGACCCCAAACAAAGCCATCTTGTCCCTTGTACCTACAGACACAGGTGTCCCCCTGAGCTGAAACCTTCAGTGTTTTCCTGGACGTACTGCAAACTGATTAGGCATGTTTGGGGAAATGGAACAGTAAAAAAAAGTTGGTTTTTTTTTGAAGTTGCTTTTGACTGTAGACAAGTTGCTCCAAGCTCTCTAAGTCTTGGTTGTAATAATAATAATAATAATAGAGTCATACAGAATAATAATTGTATAATAAAGGTGCATTCTTTGTAATCATATAATAGCACAGTTCCATGACTGTATAATTCTATCACATGATCATGTAACGATGATAAATGCTATTTGAATGAAGCTTTGTTCTTCACAGTAGCTTTTCTTAGGTGGGAGCTAGGCCCCAGCCTTTCTTACCATTTAGCTCCTCCTGAATCCCATGAGGAGGGTGAGAGGGGCTGATCTTCCCCTGACGGACCTTCTGAAGACAGCCGAGGTCAGGGGAAGGTGACAGCTGCAGATATTGACGTTGGACAACAAAGGAGGAAGGGTGGCCCTGGGTGCCAAGCAGACAGCAGAGTGCGTCCAGACAGAAGGCCACAGGAGTGGTCACCGAGAGAGGGGTAATATTCTTGGCCCTGCAGAGTCTGGATTTAGGCAAGTGGGATCTTGTCCCTAGGCTTTGCCAGAGGACTAGAAAGGAGGCAGGGGTATGGAAGGTCCCTTCTATGGTCAAAGGAACTGCTTTGGTCTGTTGAGCTGTCACATCCTCTGTGCTGAGAGAGGGGGCCTCTGTGCCAGTTAGGGCACATCCCAGCGCCCTGGGCTCTGTGTGTGGCACCCAGCAGGTCTTTCGGAGCAATCTAGCCAGTTGAATTGCTTATAGTAACAAATACCTGTGAGTAACCCGAGTCCCTTGAAAGAGGACTGATTAAAATTAATGGCAATAACAGCCGTTGAGTGGAGGAAGTCAATCTGTATGGACGGCTTCGAACGAAAGAGGCATCTGCATTTATCGCTGAAGAAAATAAAAGATGAAGAACAGTATGTCCATCAAGCGCTTAATTGTAAAATAATAGTGCCTGCATGATGGCGTGTATCGCTGTAAATATTTCTGCATGTATACTGAACATCCCTCGTGAAATTCACAGGAAATGGGTAACAAAGGTGATTCCCGAGAAGGAAATATGCACCACTGGGAGTCAGAAAGGAGAGAATTATTTACTGCATGAACTTTTATTTATGCTTTTATATTAAGCAGACTGTTTGTACCTAAATTATTCTAGAAATATGGATTGATCTCAATTATGTGTGTACTAGCAAACACACACACACGACGAGAGAGCAAATAAACTCAAAGATTTTTTTTTTTTTTGAAGTGGGAACCCTTCATTGCCTATCACGTGCTGAACCTTAGCCAAGGCAATGCTCTTGGTTGGGATTCTGTGTGTGTGTGTGTGTGTGTGTGTGTGCGTGTGCGCTCAGCATATTGTAATGGGCAGAAGCTAGTGTTTCTGTCTCAGCAACGCACCCTCACACCATTAACGCTGCTCAATTTCTGTTTCCCCAGCTTCATTCCGACATCGATTCTGGCGATGGGAACATTAAGTACATTCTCTCAGGTGAAGGAGCAGGGACCATTTTTGTGATTGATGACAAATCAGGAAACATTCACGCCACCAAAACCCTGGACAGAGAGGAGAGAGCCCAGTACACGCTCATGGCTCAGGCGGTCGACAGGGACACCAACCGACCCCTGGAGCCGCCGTCGGAATTCATCGTCAAAGTCCAGGACATTAACGATAACCCCCCAGAGTTCCTGCATGAAACCTACCATGCCAACGTCCCCGAGCGTTCCAACGTGGGTACGTATGGCAGACAACACCTGGTCTCGCTCCGGGACTGGTATCTCTGAGGGTGGTTGGGTTGCCAGACCCTTCCGTTCTGGAAGTAGCAGGCATGCCATGCCTACTCCGGCAAAATCAACGACAATAGATGTTTACTTGCGTCTGAACTTTCAAGGATTTGAAGTGCCCTTGATGTTTTAAAATCTAAACTTATGGAAGGGGCAGGGTGAACCTGGTCAAATGCAGGAAGCCCCTGCTTTTGTGCTTTATAGCTGTGGGACATACAGCCAGTGACATCTACTCTCGTGGCCTTCAGTTCCTCCTCTGTGAAATGGGAAGACTTGACAGTCTTGCAAGATGAGAGCTAATGTGTGTCCAATCAGTAGTGCATATTGATGTTCACTAAGCCAGGCAATTGTAATATTTGGTGCATGTAGGTTTTGTGCTAATTGATGATTTGCATAATTGCATTTGGTCTTGACAAAAATTAATGTTTGCAAGGAGATTGGGCCTTGTACTCTATTTTATACCTGAGACGTCCAAGGTAGAAACAGGTTAACGAATCGATTGAATGTCTTCAGAGATATTAGGGGATACAGAATGTACTCTTTAACCCCAGCACAAGCCACCGTCCATTGGGGGGAATAAATCAGCCGTCGAGATGGCTTTCCATCAGACCTGAAGGCACGCTGCATTGTGAAAGGACAGTTCTCTCCAAGATTTCTTCCCTGGGCACTGTCTTCTTGCCAGACCATTTCTTTGGGTTTTTGAAACGCACGTCCTCGTGGTCCTGTGGGCAGCGTGCCTCATAAATGAAGCGAGATTTGTCCTTGAGACAGTGAGTGGAACTGTCCTGATCAGGGATTGAGCCTGAGATGTAGACAGGAAGTGAATTTACAAACCAGCAGGACTAACCCACCAATTTTATAGATGAGAAAATCGGGCATGGAGGATGGGATGAACTCGCTCCAGAAAGGTAGGTGCAGAAATGGGTGCACGATGCTTAGCTCTTCCCACCTTGCATATAGAACCTCTTATACCAGAAGAAATGTTCTCCTCCTCCCCCTCCTCCCCAATCTAAGTTTCCTCCTCTTCCTCCTCGTCCTTTAAGAAAAGTCAAGGACCTCTCATACTTCAGCAAAGACGGGCCGATCATTCAATCACTTCTCATCTTTATCTCTGTCCTTTTTCCCTGCCTGGTCTTTTAGCAGTATACCCCTGGGGTTTCGCATGAGAAAGAAAGGTGTAAAACAACCCATGAAGTAGAGGGCAGCAGTATCAAGAAAGACCTGAGTCTTGGGGCGAGACCAGCCATCAGAGTGGCTAATCCAGGGGGCATTTTTGTTGTCCCCACCTGTAGGGGTTCATTGTGCCTCTGGATGGCAGCCAGACTCAACCAGCTTTGAGAGTATTGTCTTTTGCTGTCAGACGGTGTAAATTCAAATCCTGGCAATGCCTCAGACCAATCGCATGAACTCAGAACACATCCATGTCTTTCTGGGTTTTCATGATGACTTCTCTAAAAGGAGGCGAAGGCAAATCATGCTGGGGATCCACTGAAATGGGTGGAAAATGGAGAGGGGTTACAGTGCCGTTAGCAGAGTTCCAGAAACAAACGCACACAAATGAGTCATTGGCCTCTTGCCTCAGGATGGTCGCACACAGAAGTGTGCCCACACTAATAAATCTCAAGTGCCTAGAATAGTACCTGCTGCCTGGGCAGAGCTCAAAATGGGTGGTTTACCTAAACTCGTAACTTTGCTGCACATTTGTAGTGCTGTTGGCTCGGCTTTGTTGGACTGCAAATTGAATGGTTCGTGGTTCAAACCTACCAGCTGCTTCTTGTGAGAAACAGGAGGCTGCCTGGCCCTGGAAAGATTTACACAGCCTCAGAAACCCTATTTAGGATCTCCATGAGTGGAAATCAGCTCCACAAGTAGTGGATATCCTTTTTTGGTTTTATATACAAAAATACATAGGTGTGTAAAGATTTACATGCGTGTATACATGCACACGTGTATAATGCTACACACTACAGATAGTGATATACATATGATGCTGTGGAATATGTATGCATAGGTAATGAATAATGCCTTATGGTATACATACACAGTAAATGTATGTGTTAGTCTGGGTTGACTACAGAAACAAATTCAGAGACACTCATGTGTATAAGAAAGAGTTTTATCTAAAAGAGCAATTGTACATTAAGAAAACCTTTCAGCCCAGTCCAGATCAAGTCCATAAATCCAATGTTATCCCATATATCCGATACCCATCTATAAATTCCTCTTCAGATTCATACAACACATGCAATGACACCGTATGCAGGAAGCTCACAGGCCAGTGGGTAGGAAGTCTTGTGAATCTAGTGGCAGTGAAAACATCTCAGCCCTGGCAGGGGTCTCCACGTGGCTTCTCCAGCTCCAGGGCTCTGGCATAGCTCTATGTGTCTTGTCAGCAGGAATGTCTTGCAGGATGTAAGTGTGTCGCACCTCCAATGAGCGATTTATCTCCTTAGCACTTCCAAATGAGGTCATCAAGCTGCAACCTGATTGACAAGCTAAGCTCCACCCCTTCACTCTTAAGATTCTCAAATTGACAACAGATTATGTAACTACATATATATATAACTGCATGAAAATAACTGGCAGCCCTCTGGATGAAAGGCAAGCAGGAGGCTCCTCTGCTGATACAGTCATGGAAAGAGACTAGGTTTTGTCCATTGCGAGATGGAGCCTAAGTCTGCCCGCACCAGCACTGTGAGCTATGATACAGACTACAGGAGTCCGTCCTCTGCCACTCGCCTTCTCACGCATGCCCTGATGTAAAGAGCATGCCCAGCAGACCAGGGCTGGCAGGATGACCCCATGCAGTGAGATGCGGGCCCCACCCGTACCTGGCACATGTAAAAGAAAACCAGCTAACAGCCCAACCCAGTTGCCCTGGAGTTGATCGGGACCCCTGGTGATCCCGTCCCTGTCTGAGCAGAAGCGAGCCCGTGCAGAGGCTGAACTGCTTCATAAGGAGATCCTCGGGTCGGTCTCTGGAGCGCCTCTGAGCGGATGCACTTTCCCCTGGCAACCAGCATCTGACTTCCTAATTGCTGCCCTCTCCTTCCTGTTTCCTGTCTTGAAGACTTCGAATCCCGACATGCTATGTTCTGATTGATGCTGGCTAATATTTGGAATTGAAGATACCACGGACTGCTGAAAGGACAAACTGATCTTCTCAGGAAAGGTACAGCCAGGGTGCTCCTTGGAGACAGGAATGGCAAAACTGCGCCTTGCACACTTTGGATATATTGTCAGGAGAGACCAGTTCCAGGAGAAGGCCATCAGCAAAATGAGGAAGATCCCAATTAGATGGGCTGACACTGCGGCTGCATCCACGGGCTTAGGCATGGGAACTATTGTAAGGAGGGCGCAGGCCCGCGCCGTGTTTCGTTCTGTTGTGCATGAGGGTCACTGCAGGCTGAACCGATTAGATGGCACCTACTCACAACAAACGAGAATCGATACATTTGAATTATGTTGCCGGCAAAGAATATTGAAAATACAACGGACTTCCAAAAAATTGCAAATAAATCTGTCTTGGAAGAAATACAGCCAGAATGTTCCACGGAGGCAAGGATGGTGAGACTTCCTGTCACATACTTTGGCCGTGTTTACCAGGGGACACCAGTCCCCGGAGAACAGCATCGTGCTTGGTCATGTAGCGGGGCAGGAAAAAGAGGAAGACCGTTGCCAAGGTGGACTGACACCATGGCTGCCTCGATGGGCTCAAACACAAGAACAGGAGGACAGAGCAGGACCTGGTAGTCCACAGGGTCACAGAGTCGGAACCGACTCAACGGCACCTAACGAGAGAGAGAGGCTTTTCAAGATAAAAGGTACCCCGTCCACCTTCCTTCCCTGGTTCCCTCCCCACTGACCCAGGAATGCTAACCTCCGGTCTCGGCAGATATCCGCTGGTCATTCCCGTGATGTGCATACCAGATCCATTCGAGGTGGGAAGAGGCGATTTCCATGCCAGTGGGGAACAGCATCCTGTGCAGTATTTATAGCCATAAATTAATTAAACTATAGGATTAGCAGCAATTTTATGACATGCAAAGCAACAATAAAATGATGTATTTACTGCTCGGCTGCAGATGGGAGATTGCCCTCTGTCCTTTCGTGAAAGGCAGCTCATCATGAGTGACCATTTATTATACTCTTTGGGAAGGTTTTTATTTAATTATTTGATATACTAAACATTTCAATTGCACGGGTCTTAGAATGTTTTGGCAACAACGCTTACATTATCAGTTCCACTACCATGCATGACAGGGTGTGCTGTAAATACGGAAAGCCCATTTTCAAAGGATAAGAGTTACAAATGGGAAGATGGAAGAGAAGGAAAAACCACTTTCCCCCTCAATCTCAGGAAAATGAATAAGTGCATGGAACAATCATGGGGTATCCCCAACCCACCCCCATCCCCCTGCGTATTTTCATTTTCACATGCAACTCGATGAGCAAGAAGGGCCTTTGAAAGGCTGCAGGGTGACTAACCATGCTCGCTCTTCCTTTCCGCAGGCACGTCGGTCATCCAGGTGACAGCTTCGGATGCCGATGACCCCACCTATGGAAACAGTGCCAAGCTCGTGTACAGCATCCTCGAAGGGCAGCCCTACTTCTCGGTGGAAGCCCAGACAGGTACAAAGGGTTATTGCAGTGATTCCTGGTGCGTGACAGCAGGCGTGTGCACTGCCCCCTCCTCCCGTGGGACTTCCAGTCGTTTCACACACGTGCACAGGACATGGATTGAGGCATGTTTCAGGGCAGTTGTGAGGATTGGGCGATAGGGCCTGAGCCTGGTGTCCAGCCGGCATTCTGCAGTCAAATGCGTTCACTGGCGCTCTTCCAGGGGATCCCAGTGCTGAATTGCCAGTAAATGCACATCCAAGCTCCCCGCCATGGAGTGGATTCTGACTCGGAGCACGGAGGAGACTGTCCCTGCTCTTTCTACGATGGTAACGTTTTAGGAGAGTAGAAAGCCTCATTGTTCTCCCAAGGAGTGGCTGGTCATTTCAAACTACCGACCTTGTGATCACTATCAGGGCTCCTAGAACAACCAATAGGATCCTAAAACTCCTCTTCAAGGCCAGAAGGGACTTAGCTGCAGATTCAGATTAAAAGACCATCGAACCAGAGGGTTTATATCAAACGGGCAGTTCTCAACGCATACTTTTTCAGATCAGTGTGCAGAGCTGGGCATGTGGGTAGGCAAATGTTCGTGACTAAGCATATTTATGACTGGGCACATCCCCAATCATGCCCACTTGGTGTATATTACCCCCAGTGGGCATTAGCATCCAGCACGGAGGCTCTGCAGGGTTTCTTCCCAAACACCAATGACAACCAAACCAATTTCCCTTCATTTATCCCAAACCAGACCCGTGGATCCTTTTACTGGACGAGGTGCATGTTCCCATCCTGTGAAGCAGCTGGTCCACAGGATTCATCCCAGATTCTCTTTAGATTTTCTTCACCATGTTTATGTAAGATGTTTACAAACAAGCATCGTTTATTTTTATCATTAAAAAGCATCCAGTGCTGCTTGAAGTGTAGAGCGAGCCGGTGCTGTTGTCTGCCAGCAAACCAGCCAGAGTCCACGAGCACGTGGGAATCCGTCCTCCGTGAGCTCTTGTCAGTGACAAGGGGTAGCAGACAATACGGTCCTGTTACAAGTACAGTGTGTGTCAACCTGTCAACCATAGTGGTGTAATGAGTTATGAGTTGGACTGCTAACCGCAAAGTCAGTAGTTCGAAACCACCAGGCCGCTCCTAAGGATAAAAGGGAGGCTTTCTACCTTGGCAAACACTTACAGTCTTAGCAACTAACAGTGGCAGTTATACTATGTTCTAGGTAGTTATACTATGTCCTAGGGGGTCACTACGAGTGGAATTGACTAGACAGCAGTGGGTTAATGTTCGGTTTATATTTTAATCCATTAGGTTTATAATTTGTTATAAAAATTAATAGTGTGACTACAACGTATTGCACGAAATATATGCCTCCAACTTCTAATTTAATGTGAATTATAGAAATACTGCTAAGCATAACACCCAGAGATAGACTTCTTGGAGCTTCTCCTGGTTGTCCAGAGCATGGCATTAACTGTGGACATGCGTGTGCTGGGCCTTCACGTACACCAGTCTGGGGGCCCTTGAAGGGTCTTACTTGAGTTCACTGAGGTTTTTACATGTATTCATGTATTAAAGGAAATGAGATCTTCATTCTATGTTAATAATACTAGAATGCATGATTAGAGAGATCGTTAACAATATTTTATCATTATTATTACAATGATAAAATTATTAACTCTCAATTAATAACTGTCATATTATTAACAGAGCTATTACGATCCAGGTATGGAGCTTTGGGTTAGAATTTGGCTGGAGAAACTGTCTCTTCTCTGGAGGCAAAATGACAATACCAGACCAGTTGCCAAGTCCAATCTGACTCATGGCCAGGGCATGCGCATTGATGTCAAAGGGTGCTTTGGTTCCCACGACTGCTGCATGTCAGTAGGTCTCCAGAGTTTTCTTCTGAGCCATCTTCTGTTAGCAGGGAGTGGTGGACCATTAATCTCACCCTGGGATTCCTGCCGTAAGCGGAGGGGCCGCTTTATTCATCTTGGCTTGTCTGTCACCCAGCACTTGATGGAAGTATCATTAGCTTCTTCGTATCCGGTTGTTGCAAATGCTCCTTGGTGGACCCCAAGGCAACCTCATGCTTCCTTTCTGCCCCTTGCTCTTCCCTGCAGGCATCATCAGGACAGCCCTGCCCAACATGGACCGGGAAGCCAAGGAGGAGTACCACGTGGTGATCCAGGCCAAGGACATGGGTGGACACATGGGTGGACTCTCAGGGACAACCAAAGTGACGATCACACTGACCGATGTCAATGACAACCCACCAAAGTTTCCGCAGAGTAAGTAGGCAGGCGGGCGTGGCGTCCACTCTTCCTTCGTGCCACAGCCAGGTGGCTGTCTTTGCTGCCCACTCAGCGGTCAGAAAGGAAACAGAGAAAATAGAAGCTCCCCAGTGCTGCTCCCCAAACCAATGATCAACCAGAGAGCGCAGGGGGTGCATCAGGGGTGGACGAAAGAAGATAAGGAAGGGAGGCCAGGATGTTGAAAACAGAAAATGGATCTTGCTAGATTTCTCACACACATTAGCATGATCATCCATCCGGATGATGCCCACTGCCAGGGAGCTGATTCTACTCACGGAAACTCAGGCAGACAGCAGAGTTTCCCCTGTGCGCCTCCGAGGCAGCACACCTTATGGAAGCCGGACTGCTGCTACTGTTGCCCCTGGAGAAGCTAATAGGTTCAAAGTGCTGCGCTTACATCCAGAGCTGGGTGCTTTCAGCGTTGTCCCACCGGGGCTGGGAGCAGTGCCATTCACCCAAACCCATTGGCACTGTGTCATTTCTGACCCACTGCAACCCTGTCTAAAGGCCATGGGGTTTTCTTTATGGTCCGATAGCCTTACCTTTCTCCTGTGGCGCAGCCAGTGGGTTTGAGTTGTCAACGCTGCAGCTCAATAAGAATACCTGTCAGTTAGCTACTGCTGTGTCACAAATTGCCCTAACCTCTCAAACTCACTGCCGTCCCGCGGATTCCAGCTCATCACTCCCCTACTGGATAGGGTAGAACAACGCCTGTGGGTTTCCGAGACAGTACATCTTTATGGGAGTAGGCAGCCTCATCTTCCTCCTGTGGAGCAGCTGGTAGTTTCAAACTGCTGACTTTGCGGGTAACAGCCCAAAGCATCATCAACTCCTCTAGACCCAAACTCTCGTCCCTTAGTTCATTAAATCTAGTTTCTTAAAGTCATCATTTCTTGTCATCATGTCTCTGCAATTTGGTAAAAATCTCAAAGAGAGTTTGTTACTGGTCCCAGAGCTTTAATGCAGAGAATCTGTGCGGGATGGAGCACCCACTTCCAACATCCTCACGGTTGGCACTTGGTGCCCTGGTGGTGGCTCTTGGTTCCCGCACCTTGTAGGGATCTCTATGAAATGAGTTGGCCTCCTCATGGTGAGATGGATATTTGGCTTTCAGAAGTGAGATCCCCAGGGACCCCAAGCAGAAACTTTTATTGCCCTTCCTCCCTCCCTTAGACACATAGTCCCATGGTCATAACCACATTCAAGTGGGGAGGAGGTAGATGTCACTTTTCGATGGCATGAATGTCAGACTCGGGTGGAAGGACTAGCATGGGGCATGGGGAATGCCACCGTGACATTTTTGGAAAATAAAACCTGCCACAGTTCCTAATTGATACTCTGATTATTAGAACTGAATGAGCAGTAAACAATCTAACAATGATGCTTGGCACAAGTAGTCAACAACTGTTGTCTGTTATTATTATTTGGGGAATCCTCATGCTTCTGCATAATGTATACTGTTGTGGCAGGAATTACAAGAAATAATGGCCCTGAAATATAATTAAAAATAATAAATAACTAATAATAATAAACAGTATAACTCTTACACTCTGAGGAATAGTCACGGTGACTGAAATGTTCACCAGAGTCCATATTTTACGAGAGAGTGGGATTTGCCCAGGGAGTGGGGCAAAGCCATGAGCCAACTGTCAACCTGTGTGTGAATGCCTAAGTGTACATTCAAAGGTACACTGTTGGTTTAGTGATGCTGAGACTGCTCACACATAGGTTCACCATGGACAGGGGGTGTTCCATTAGCTGAGGTGGATAATACAAACTCTCAAGCCAAATTCTTACCATCAAGTTTACTCATAGACCCTATAGGGTAGGGCAGAATTGCCACTTTGGTTTTGTCAGACTGTTTAAGGGAGTAGAAAACCACATTTTTCTCCTATGGGTGAGCTGGTGGATTCAAACTGCTGACCTTGTGGTTAGCAGCCACGTGTCCTCCAGCAGGGTCTTTATCACCAGAGAGATTGTAGTTTTTTCAAGTGAAAGGACAAAGAAGTCAACCATGCACGATCCCAAGAAGGCTTACAAAGGTATCTCAAGAGATCATTCTGGACAAGAGAAACGCTGAGGTGATGAAGCAACCACTAGTTCACAGACTGTCCCAGAAGAAATGGAGAAAGACTGCTTGGCCTAGTCAGGTGCAAAGCCGAGTATCCCCAGGGATCTTGAGGCTCACGTAGCCCTCTGAAAAGGGGCATGCTCCCTTATCTGGTGTGTGGAAGGGAAGGGCCAGGCAACAGTACCAGCAATCTTTGTTCCTGCCCATCAACCTGTACTTATTCTCCTCCAGTAAAATCATATCGCTACAGATACATTGCCTTGAACTTGAGTAAGACTTTAAGAAAATTGACTCCACGTGTTTATTTTTATAACCTTCTCGTAACTTGGGAATTATTTACAGAGAGAGACCCCTACCTCCCACCAGTCCTTTACTGCACGAAGGGCTGGTGACAATATGTTGAACATGGGCCCAAACTGAAAGTGTCCCAAGTCAAAGCACATATAGAAATACGGACACAGGACTTGGACTGATCAATCTTGGTAAAGGGAAGCATCGGACTTGAAGGAGTTAATTAACATGCCCATGACGGCTTAGCTGGGAAGCAGAAGAGCCATAGTTCCTGGCCCCTTGCCTCTCGATATTCCGTGTCACCCGGAAGGGTTTTAAGAAGTGAAAATGCAAATGAGATCATCTCAGATCCCCCTCTGAGAACCTCCCAGTGGTCTCCCACCATGTTTCAAAATAGACAGCATCTATCCATCTCCATGCCTCTCTCTGTCCACAAGGGCCCTGTCATTCTTCGCTGTTCGCCAGTCAAACCACCCAGTATGTTCCCACCTCTGGATGCTTCCCGTTGACCTTGACTTCTCCTTCTGCCCATAATTTTTATCTTCCAGCAGTATACGTGATGGTCGTCCACAGTCCCGTTAGGGAAGCTCAGATGCTTGCTTCTGTCTGATGGCTTCTCTGACCACTCCATTCAAAATCGATCCCTCCTCTTCTCTTTTCCTCCCGCACCTGCTTTCTCCCTCACACACATACATTTAAAGTAAACATGCACGCACACACACATGCAGTCACGCATGTTCACACGCGATCACGTTCATACACACCTATGTAGATACGCATTCGCACTCTCAGATACACACACACACCCCGTCACACGCGCCCTCGCTGTCTACACCTACTCGCTCACTCTCTCGAGCTCTTCCACGATCCTCTCCCCCTTCCTAGTTAGACCGTGCTGAGTCAGCTCCGGCTCTTGGCAAACTCCTCTGCCACAGAGCCATCACGGCCCAACTGCACGCCGCCTGTACCCTTTACTGACTGTCTTCGCCCAAGCCCATGTGTGCCCATTTGTTTACTTATTTATTTTCAATGTGCTTCACGAGGGGAGGAGTTTGTCCAAAGGCTCAACTCCAAACTCACTGCCATCGCACGAATGCCGACTCATAGTGTTCCTCGAGGACGGGGTAGACCTGCCCCTGTGGGTTTTCAAGACTGTCCCTCATCACGGGAGTAGACAGCCCGTTGTTCTCCCTCGGAGCGACTGGTAGTTTACAGCTGCCAACGATGAGGTGAGCAACCCAACCCGTGACCAGGACACTGCCAGGGCTTCCACAGGAGAAGCCAGTAGAGGGCTAAAGACGACTAGACCTCCAAGATCTGGAACAGTGTTTGACAGCTGATCGGTTCTCGGGGAAGGGCCACGCTGTGGGGAAAGTTTCCTGACAAAGGGAGGCTTGCTGGGATAGCGAAGGATTTCAAGTCACAGAGAAGTCAAATGGCCAGGGTCAGCCGGACCAGGATCTGGAAAGACAATGCTTTGCTTTCTATCAGTAGAGTGGCTCCAGGCTTTTGAACAGAGAAAGATTGTTTCTGGGTACCTGGCAGGGTCCTAGGAACCCCAGGAGCACAGGGGTTGGGCTGCTAACCAGAAGATGTGTGGTTCAAACCCACCAGCCGCTCTGCAGGAGAAAGAGCAATGAACCAGTGCCAGGCTCACAGCCTTGGAAACACTCTGGGGAAGGTTTACTCTGCTTAGTGGGATTTCTGTCAGTTGGCATTTGACTTGACAGCAATGGATTTGGCTTTGACCTTGGTGATGCCATTGTGGGCCTTGGAAATTAGTCTTGAGACCATCCTGAAGGATTAAAAACAGCGTTCAATTGCTTGGCCGAAGACACACATCTCTTCCTGCTGGGAATATACGCAAGCATTGTTTGCCTGCCTTCCATGTAGCAGGTGACCCCACCACCTCACCCTCGACCCCATCATTGTTCCATCATCCTTTGTAGAAAGCATTCCTTTGACAAGCAGGCAGCGCGGGAGGGTCCTCCCATCCATTCATTGCTTTCATGTTTTCAATCAATAGAAAGTTCAATTTCAAGCCCTTTGAGAAATTTATTGGGACTCAATGAAATCTAAAGCCTCACAGCTGCCAAATAAAAGGGAAAATAAAAATAGATGTCTTCTTCTTCTAGGCGTGTACCAGATGTCTGTGTCAGAAGCAGCTGTCCCCGGGGAGGAAGTAGGACGAGTGAAGGCTAAAGACCCAGACATTGGAGAAAATGGCTTAGTCGCATACAATATTGTTGATGGAGACGGGATGGAATTGTTCGAAATCACAACGGACTATGAGACACAGGAGGGCGTGGTGAAGCTGAAAAAGGTGAGTTAGGGTAAAGAGTCAGGCCCGCCCAGGGGCGGTCTGTTCTGCCAAGGCAATTCTGCAGCAGGACAGGGAGTTGAAGATCAAGAAATGAGACTGGGGGGGTCACCTGCCTTGGCCGTGGAGCTCTGGGAGGAGAGCAGAAGTGCACTCCTTCCTGTAGTGCAGAGGCAGCTGGCTGAAGGTGCTGGCGAGGCCTGAGTGAGATTGCTGCTTAGTTCTTGTCTGTTCCCGCATGGATTCCTCATGGGAGAAAAGGGAGCTCCATCCACGGGGATTTTTAGAGTAACCGGCATGGGCATGCGTGGACCTGCACTGGTAGCTCTGCCCAACAGAGTCTGCTCATGGGGCTCCTTAGAACGTTCCCACTCCCAAGCAGCCAACATTCATTCTTTGCTGAAAATCCTGGGCGACAGAAACCAAACATTGGTTTGCCCTTTTGTTTTTCTTTTTAATCATTTTATTGGGGGCTCCTAAGCTCTTAGCACAATCCATCCATCCATCTATCCATCCATTGTGTCAAGCGCATTTGTGCATCTGTATAAATGTTTGCCTTTTCCTAAATGCTGAACCTGAGGGAATGAATGACCATGACCGTAAGGAACCTTCCCCACCTCCCCCTCTTTCCAGACAGCCATGAGTTTCATGCCCACCACCACCTCACCCCCCACCCCAGACAGCCATGGGTTTCATCTGTGACAAAGAAGAGTTTCCGGTTTGTTGTTGCCTTGTTTAATATTTTCTAGAGACTGATGTTTATTAGTGGGTATCAGGAGTGTGGGGAAAAAAATTGAACTCAACCGTTGAGTTGATTCCAACTCCTAGTGACTGTATAGGACAGTGGAACTGTCCCCGTGGGTTTCTGAGACCATACGTCCTCACAGGAGTAGAAAGCCTCTTCTCTGGTTCTGGGAGGGACTGGTGGTTTTGAGCTACTAACTTTGCAGTTACCAGCCCAGCACGTAACCTACCACACCACCGGAGCTTCCTGTTGATCGTGATATAGATTAGGCAAAAGAAGCTGCAGTGGTTGCCCACCTGGTTAAGAGAATTGATGCCATTCAATTGCAGTGAAAAATGTTGACTTGACTATTGTGTTGTACAGGGATGGGGGGCTCTATTCGCTTTCCATTCAATGTCCTAGGAACTTTTGAAGCCCTCTCATGCACATATATCTTTAGAACCATTTTAAAGAATGAGCGTTTACTTAATACTAACTATTGGCCAGACACAGCCTAAGCCTTTTACAAACATCCTCAAGTTTATTTATTTTATAAACATCATGTAAGACCTATTTCATTATCTCAAGAGGCAATATCAACCTTAGTTGAACTATGAGGGGATTGGGACTCGGGCTAATTGAACCATTTACTTAGGCACCCCATACAGCTAATCTCCTGCAGACATGGTATTCAGCCCCAAGGTCTGATGGGACTTATTTGTGGAGACATTCCGGAAACAGCTGGCGCAGCCGTGGTTCCTGAAGGAGGGCCAGCTAGGATGTCCTGTCAGTGAACACACAGTTACAGTAGATGCAGAATCCGGTTTCCCCCTGATTCTCCACTTGAGAAATCAACACCTCTCCATCATCAAAGTGTATGGAGCATTAACTCTGAATTGGATGATGGGATTACCTGGTTTTAATCAAGCATTCGTTTTCAGCTTGGTTTTGTAGCATGGATACTAAACTCCTTGGTGGGATGGGAGAGATTGGACGCTCACATTGATGAGAAGATTAATGGGGAGAATCAATGAAGAGCCCAGGAGCTGGGGAAGAGGCTGAGGGTGGGGCAGGAGAGGCAGTCTCGGGAGCATTCTGTCAGAGAGCAGAGGGGCAAGAGATGCTTGTTCTAGAAGCTGGCTTTTCAGTTCGTTTAAAAGCTCTGTGGGATTTGGGAGAAGTACAGCAGGACAGGGAACAGAGAGAAAGTGACGTTGACCCGATTCTAAAAGAATAGGGAATGTGTGACCTAAGGAGGTGGTGGTGAACTTTGGAGCCTTGAAGCTTCATGTGAGTGGTGGTGATCACTCTCAAGGGACTAGCAAAACCATTCCTTCCGGTGTGACCTCTGGAAAAGTAGCTGCCTGTGTGAACTGTGTGTGCTGCAGAACTATCCAAGTGCCCCACTAATGAACGTTACCACCCTTCCTGCCTGACAGTGACTTTGCACACTGACATGCGATTCCTGACCCCCCCTTCCTGTGCTGACAGTATCACTGGGTAATTGGTGATGGTTGTCACCTGTTTTCAGTATGTTCAGGGCATGAACACATACAGGGTCTCCAAAATCTTGAAACATTTAGATCAGCCTATGGACCTCCCACGTCAGACGTGAGCTCTTCATTTCTGCACATCGGATTCATTTGAATATGCCACCTCATCCCACCCCATTCCCACCCAGTGAGTTGTAACTCAGGCAAAGAAATCAACTTGCTGCGTAACACGGATGTCTAGGCTTAAAGCAGGAGCCAAATGTCCTTTTCTTTGTAAAAGAACTTCATTTAAACTTCCCTTGCGCCCCCCCACCCCCACCCCAAAAAATATTGAGAGCTAACTTCAACAGAGGAAACCAAGGACTCCTCGTGGCTGACAGATTCGTGGTATTGGCGGGTATGGTGAGGGGTCATGGAAGTGTGTCCTGTCTTTTACGGAACATCCTTAAATATAATATGTCCGCAGATTGCTTAATGCATTTCCCTGATTTTCTAGCAAGTGTTACTGACTCCTTCTGAAGGTGACCTTTGGTGAGGCGGCAAGTCTGCAGATGAGGAGGGCGGGAGCTCTGTTCACTGGGGAACTGAAGTGCAAAGCATCCAAGCGGAGCAGGGTTCCGGAATGTGGCACCACTGGCATGTCCCACTGGCCGATCCCTTATGCTCCGGGGCCGAGCTGGGTCCTGCAGGTTGCTTAGTTCACATGGCTCAACATCTGCCCACTCTGTGCCAATCGCAGGGCCACCTTCTCAGAGTGGCCAGTTCTGGAGCTGACCCCTGATGGATGAGTCAGATTTTGCCAGATAAATAAAAGAGAGGAAGAGCTAATCCTTAGGGATAAACTAGCTCTCCAGAAAGGCTGGCGTCAGCGGAAACAGGAGTTGTTTAGGAAACGGCACTCTGACTCTTCGTGGGGGTGATAGGATGGGTGCCGTGTGAGCAGCTGCTGTGGAAACTCAAGAGAGCAATGACGAAGAACTGAGGAAAGCCAAGAGGGAATGCAATGGTAGTGAGGAAAGAGAATCCAGGAGGGACTGGGGAAGCGCCATCACGGATTCTTAGGGTAGGTCCCTTTCCGTGTTTCTTGAATGGTGATGCTTTGTCAGGCTGTGGTTGACTGTCAGGACTATAGGATCATGACCTTGAGAGAGACAACCAGACCTTGGGGCATTTCCAGACTCATCCTGTGTTCCTTGAAGAGGAACTGGGGCAAAATAAGTAGGTGGCCTTTAGAGGCTTAGTAGACGTGGGGTGGAAAATCCATCATTGGGTTGGCCGTAACCTAGGAGGACACCCAGCTCTTCTAGAGAAATCACTCGAATGCATACTCGCTGAGCCATTTGTTTTTAAACGAATAACCCAGAAGGCCAAGGGAGGACTCGCAGGGAGACCTTTTGAAGGAAATCATCGCAGAGCCTCTGTCCTAAAACGATTTGGATGCCTGGTGATTTCTGTCTGTGCTCTGCCTCCATGCACACAAAGGTGGGCACACAGCAGTTCGCAGTGTTGCAATCCTAAGTGATCCAGTCTTTTAAAGTTAAGCTGTAAGAGCCCCCAATAAAACGACTGATTTAAAAAAAAAGAAAAAAATTAGAAAGATATTTCGCATCATACCCTATCACATGCTGTTACTGAATGGGCATAATCCTTACTGACTCATCTCCCACCTTGCCCTGTGATGGACTATCGTTTTCTTAATAAAAGCCTCACAGTTGGATTTGGCATCTGGTGCGTATGTTCCTGTCCCCCACGCCCACGCCCATGCCCAGTGAAATCTATCCTTCTATAATACCTCACAAGCACTATGCAGTTTTGAATATTTTTGTCTGGGTTTTCTGATGAACCAGTCCCTTAGGGAGACCCCTCAGGAGGGAGATTAGTAAAGTAGGAGGCATTAAACTCTCTTTGGTTTCAGTTGCGCGCCGTCTCCTCTAGCTTTACAGCAACTACTCGTAACGCGGATCTAAGTGTTCTCATGGGAAACGACTCCACATCCTTATGTTGGAAGCAGGCAGCGAGTACACTGGCGGTCCAATGTGGAAGTGGTAACGCCCCATCAGTGCTGCTCCCCACTTGGGCAGGATCATGGATCCTAAGGATCACCACGTACCATCTTTCCTGGGTGTTTACTCTGGCTGTTTGTCGCTTTACAATGCACGGTCCACCTCTGTATACTCAGCAGAACGGTCTGTAGGGTTTTTAAGACACACCACGCGTTCTATCTCTGGGGACATTTGACCACAAGCCTTCCGACTAGTAGTCAAGAGCTTCAGCGCTGGCACCCACTGGGGGACTCTTTTACTTTGGCACCAGAGAGACAAAGATCAGCAAGACTCAGCTGGGCCTCTGGGGTGCTCCCAGCCCAGCACGGAAGTAGGATGGACTGATGAGGGGTCCATAGGGAACCACAGAATCCTCTCTGGTCAGGTTGAGCAGACCCCCCAAAAGACTTAGCACAATCTCACCCAACGTGGAAAGGTCAGTCCAGACAGACGAATAATTGCAAAGACTTAGAGCCTGGCTGGGGATCTGGACTGGATCAGTAGGAAGGACATGTGGCTATCCCTGCCGCACCGCCAGTGGTGTCTTCCAATGGGAAGTGGCCCTGGGCCCTCGGGCATAGGCCTAAACCAAGTTCACAAGGTTCCGCTTTGATGCCACCCCACTGGTTGCCTCAGGTTAGAAAGTTGCAGGGCACCTCGTCTCCAGACTGGTATATTTTAGGGTTTGCGTTCTGTCTGATCATTGCAGACTTTTCAGAAATCACAGCCACCGCGGGCCTTTAGCCTATAAATATCACTCCTTTCTGCCGCTCGGCAACCCAGCCAAGGAGAAAGGGGCCGTTCAGTCCCCAGCATATTGGAGCAGCCGGTGTGAGATGTCATGCTGGGGAGGGGAATATGGGAGTGGACTTTGAGGCGGTGGGACTAGAGGCTGGGTGGGCAACAAGGTTTGAAACGATTTCACCTCTCTGGCACTTGAATCCCCTTTAGCTGGGATTTTTGTAGAGAAGGTCAGGATAAGTGGGGACCCCAGGAGGAGAGATGCTCAGTCATTAACTGAAAGGGCTTCAGGTTAGAACCGGCCAGCTCACTGTGGGAGAAAGCTGCAGAAGGCTGCTCTTGTAAAGATTTTCCAGCACTGGAAGCCTGAGGGGGCTTTGACGTGGTCCCTTATGGTCACTAGGAGGCAAATTCTACTCCAGGGCTGTCCGTTTGGTTAGGGAGGAAGGTTTGTTTATATGTTTTTATCTATGTGAGCGCAGGACTAAGTTCCACGATTATATCAGGGCGCTTCAACAAATTGGTTTCTCCTCGGACTTCTTAAAGCTTCCTCGTATGCCCATTTCAAATAAGGGTTTGCCAGGCCAGGTAAAATGTCAGCCGCATGGCTGGTAGATGCTCAGCATGAAAGGTGAAATCTTTCCAAGCATTTGGTGGTTCGACAGCAGGCAGCCGTTGGGCTACTTAGGGGGCTGTGCCCTGGGCTTCAGAGCTGGTTTCTCGGCTACAGTTCCCCTTCGATGATTGATCAAAGGCAGCTTCGCACTCTTCGAAGGGAGTGTTTACCTTCCATTTCTCAGGCGTTCTGACACTTCCAGGGCTTTTCTTTTTCTGTGTTTTCTTTGGCATATCTCTGTAATACCTGTGCTATTGTATTTTGCTTTCCTTTATATGGACCTGGTGCTATTATTGGAAGCTTGTTTTTACATAGACGCTTTCCTTGTAAGAACAAGCCTGATTTTCATTGCCCTCCTGTCGCTTGTCCTAAATCGCAAGTAAACGAACCTGAATCCTATCCAAATAAAACGATGTCATTGCATTGCACGGAGAGCTCTGTCTCAAAGGGGACATTAGCAGGTGTAAGAGATCTATTAACCATCGGCCCAGGGGAGAAGAGTACACTCTTAGAATGGGAAGATTTAGAAAAAGAATACATCCCTTAACATGGAGTTAATGATATTTAACAGCTCCGGCCTATCCCATCTGCCACCCCAAATCACCTGTAAGTGTGCCCAATGCTGGGATGTGCTACGATAGCTGAACATCAGGAAGTGTGTTTGTCAACATGGGTGAGGATGAGGTAAAGGGGGGTGTGGGGAAAGCAATGCTTTTGTGCTTTGGCTGAAACCGAGTGGGTGTTTGTATTGCCGCAAGGTCTAGAACTTTGCAGAATGGGCAACACACTATTGTTCGACTTTATGTCTCTTTCTTTCAGGCAACTTTTAATGTGAGCCACCTTTGCGTCCCTCTATAAAGTTCATTTTAGAGTTTCTGGCTGCCTGAATTGGTTATACTCCTGGAATTACCCATGAAACACATTCCATGTTTCAGCAATTGATTTGTCTGATGTTGTGACCAAATGGCTCTGGGAGTTGGATATTGGATAGACTCCAATTTTCTCTCTTTCAGGAACCATTCACTGTGCCTTTTGAAACAACCCAAGCCCTTCTCTGCCATTATTCTTCCAAATAACTGCTTATCAATCTTCTCTTTCTTTTGGCCAGCCTGTCGATTTTGAAACCAAAAGAGCCTACAGCTTGAAGGTGGAGGCTGCCAATGTGCACATCGACCCCAAGTTCATCAGTAATGGCCCCTTCAAGGACACGGTGACAGTCAAGATCGCAGTAGAAGATGCCGATGAGCCCCCCATGTTCTTAGCCCCAAATTACATCCATGAAGTCCAGGAAAACGCAGCCGCTGGCACCGTGGTGGGAAGAGTACATGCCAAAGACCCCGATGCTGCCAACAGCCCAATAAGGTACAGACAGGTGCATTTTAAGAGACTTCTTGGGGAATTTTATAGGCAAGGGGGGTCCTGCCAGAGCCATATCCTTCCATTGCAAACAGGGTTCCAGTTAATCTGGTCCACTGGAAAGCTAGAGGAAGCAAGGCTTTGAAGGGCATGGGATACAGCTCACTTCTGCTACGTGCTTGTGTAGGCTTGACCAACTGCACGATTTCCCTCTGCAGCAGATTCCCTAAGGAACGCTGGGGTAGGGAAGTGGGTGGGCTGTGGGGTGGGATCTATAAGCCTTGTCTGGTCCTGTCTCACTCAGGCACCCATGAGAAAGAATAAATAATGATTGTGGATAAGTTGCAATAATTACAACATATTGAACACCTTCCTGTACTTAGTGACTCAACTCGATGTTCTAGACTGTTGGTCTAATGTGTTCCCTCAACTCCATTGATGCAAGCACAGTTATTCCTTAAATCAAGAGGAACCTTGGGAGTGTGTCACAAGGCATAGCACCTCGCCCAGGGTGACAGAGCCTTCTAACTGCTGCCGGCCACCCAGAAAAAAAATGACAAAGTGCCAGACAAACGTAGGGTGCTTTCATTCTGATGAACATACAGGGAAACCTGTGAGAGCTGGAACTGAGAAGGAATGCTCTGTTTTTCCAGGTCATGCAAGTTTTCCACGATTGTTTTAGTGGAAACTCTGTGTTTCCTTCTCTGATAGGAACTGCCTTTTGCAGGTCTTGCTCATAAGGAAGCAAAGCGGACAAATTGCCACCACTGCCCTAATTTAAATTAGGAGGAAGCTGATGGTGAACATGAGGGAGGCTTGGGGAAATGAGAAAGAGGCTGAGGGGAAGGGCTGAGTCACAGTTTTAAGGCAGTTGTAGAGGGCACGTTTCCAGTAGCCTGAGTGGGCTCTGGATTGAATTCTACCCATTGCCCTTAAGTGTTTCAGGGCAACTGAACTCTGCTCCTTAGAGGTTTTATAATCTTTCAAAAACGTTCATTTTGGTAGTTTAGCCAGGCCTTTCTTTCTAAGCAGGAGCCTTGGTGGTGTAGTGGATCACATGTTAAACTGCTTCCCTCGAGGTCAGCAATTAGAAACCACCAGCCGCACTGCAACGCGATTCTCACAAATTCTTTTTGCAAACAAATTTCATGGACTCTGAGCCGCACTGATTTGTTGCCTATTGTCTGTGGCTGTTTTCATGTGACGAGTAGAAAGAGATTCTGTTGGTGCCGAGCCTTTGCTCTCTGGCCCTTTATAGAAAACACTTGCTGTCATCAGCTCAAGTTCATTACCCTCCGCCCCCCCTTCTTTTCAGTGGAGCCTGATGTGGTTGTTAGGGGTAGGTGCTGTGAACAGAATCCAGACTCACTGGATCCCTCCCTGTGGCAGAGTAGACCTGTCCCACAGCGGTTTGCTAGGCTGTTGTGTGAGCCGATTGCCGGAACTTTCTCCCCCTCAGCTACCTGAAAAATTCTGGTCCCAACCTTTCCATTCATAGGTTCAAGCATTGGATGCCTGATTAATATCCATTTCATACCAAATGCAGTCACCTCAGACCTGCAAATCGACAGTGTTCACAGGCAGAAAGTCTGCGGCATGACGAACTGAGTAGTTCTCCTTCCTCCCCCTATCCAACACACTTCACTGAGCACAGAGGAGGGGTTCCCAATCTAATCCTAGATACCCCTAACCCAGCCGGGCCATCTGAGTATTCCAAGAAGTCGCCAGGAGCAGTGGGGATCTTCCTGTGTACCAAAGACCATGATGGCAGGTGGGAGACACAGCCCAGTGGAAGAGTGGTTCAGCTACCTCTGTATCCATGGACATTGTCTCTTCCAGGAGATAATTATCATTCACTGCCCCCATCGTAGACAATATGTAATATACTCAGTGAATGCCCACAGTCCCTCTCGGAGACTGTGCCCACTCTGGAATTGTCTAGAAGGGCAGACTGAAGCTGAGAAGGATGGCATGGCTTCCTCAAACTTGTGTGGCCAGCCGGTGCCGGAGACTGAATCCACATTGCATCCATTTTGAGCTTTTGACTCTTAAACCAAATGGCCTCTGCTGAAAAGGTCCCCTGGTAGCATTTGACTACTTCTGTGCTCCTTTTTGTGCAGGAAGTAGATGACATAAGAACCGGGGACCATTTTCACACTTTCCAACCACTCAATGTCCTGAGTGTGAACTGTAGATGAGGTAGCCATGTCCCAGAAGAGCAAGTTTGGGAAGAGTGAGAACATGAGCAACGATGGAGACCCATCAATGGTTTCCTTGGAGCTGCATTGCCTCGGAAGCTCCACATCGCTGATTGGTTCTACGGGTCAGCAGTTCAGTGGCAGCTGTCCTGTGCCTATCAGCCCGTTTATGTCTATAATGATTCAAGGATGATCAATACTGGCCTTGAACCCAGCCCCTCTCACCCACTCGGGTCCCTTCTCTCAGCACTGTCAAGGCAAACATGGAAGGTGATGGAGCGCTTTCCATTCAACGAGCCTCTTGTCCTCACTGCTTCCTTTCCTAATTGCTTCTCTCCACTCAGAAGGGACTAGTGTCCTTGGATCGATGAGTAAGGCCTGATATTTTTATCCAACCCTGTCAGCTGCTTGCACATCTTGTGGACCTTTCTGCGACTCGGGAGCATTCGGGATGCTGCGCTTGTTTTCCATTTCCTTCCTTAAATCTTTTCTCCGCCCCCACCCCCACCCCCAACCTTCACAGACATTAACTTTTTCAGGCCTCACACAGAAGCGCCCATCACATTGTTTTCAAGTCAGGTTTGAGTCATGACAACCCGGTGTGCCCCACAAACTTGTCTTGGCTGCAGTCATTATGGAAGTGGATACCCCAGGTGATTTTCAGCAAGGCCCTGGATAGGTCCCCACTGGCGACCGTAAGGTTAGGTATCTGGTACAGACAGTACCAGGCCCAGTGTTGACACTGGTCTTTGATTGCTGTCTGGGTGGTGGAGGCTCCCTGAGTGTCCGCCTTTGACTTTGGGACTTCCCTCTCTACATCCCTCCCCCATAGAGTTCTCACCAGGACGTCGGTTGAACTGATGTGTGACTCTCTAGATGCTCTGTGCTCTGGTCTTTCTCGCCCATTTGAGTTTGCTACTTATGATATGCTGTTTATTTTCTCTCACTTAGCTACTTGTCACAGGCGGTCTGGTGGCCTGGTCGGTTACATCAGGTAGTGAGTTTGGTTTTGACTTTATGGTCATTGGTTTATCCATTCATTCATATATGTTTTTTCACTCATTCATGCTGATGGTAACCAAGAAGCCAAAACTCCAGGGCCATCGAGTCAATTTCAACTCATAGTAACAGTAGAGGACAGAATAGGACTGCTCCTTGTGGGTTCCAAAACCATAAACCTTCATGAGAGTTGCCAGCCTCTCCATTCACCCCAGGCAGTGGCTCGTGGGTTTGAACGACTGACCTTTCTGTTGGCAGTCCAATGTCTAGCCCAGTGGGCCACCAGGGGCCCCCCTCACTGTAGCATATTTCAAAGAATAAGAAGGTTGTTCCTACCCTTGACTTTGTGAAATCCAACTATAATCCAGTTGGATCTGTGTTCTCTTTGCATTGAACTTGTCCAGAGTTCCAGTCCAATTTCCCCTTGCTGGTGCCACCTGAACTGACTTGCCCCTCCGTCTTTCCGTAAGACGATGTGAACAGCTGTCTACGCGTCGCCCAGCCTCCCACAGGGATGCAAATATCCGCGGAGGCCTTTTGGTGCTTTCTTCATCACATAATTCTCCACTCCTCTGCCACGCTGCGCCTAACTCCCTGATCAACTCTTGACTTAAACATTGCAGCGGCTCTTCCGGTGCTCACTTTTGTTTGGACCACCCATGTGCCTCACCTACTGAATCCCCCTCCCTCCCACATCCCATCGATCGGTTCTGCTTCTGAAAATGCTCTCAGAATGCCTTGCTGGCTGCAGGGCCAAGGGCACACTCTGCAGATTGACATTGGAGCAGGTCTCAGGGCAGAACAGCAGTGACCACCCCAAAGAGGCCCTCCTAGCAGCTATTCTATTACATGTTGTCTGCTGACCATGTACAAACCAGTAAGCTATGTGTCTTAGACATCAGTCCCTCCTTATAGATAGCCCCATTGTGGGGGGTCTATTCATACTTGACAATGGAAGCATGCCCTGGGGTTTGAAGAGCTTTACATGACCCTGGGCATCACTCTATGGAAAAGGACGTGACGATGTGCCTAGGTATTTCCAGAATCAATAGTTGTGCCCTCAGTGTCTACGGGATAAAGCCACTGATCATCAGGGTCTGTCTTCCTGTATTTGTTTGTGATGCCAGGCTCCCTAAAGGCAGGAACCCACTCACTCATTGTTTGCCTTCTTTGCACATAGCAAAGGGCTCAGTTATCAAGCCCGTTCTCTGACATCAAAGGCACAGTGATTCTTTATTCCCAGCTTGACTCTTGGGAAAGGGGGCTAGTTCCATTTCTACAGGGAGGTGTGAAATCAGATGAGGAGGGAGGTGAGCTCCATTTTGAGTGCTCTGAAGGGCTCTCTGGGTCCCTATCTCTTAGAAGAAACAAGATCAAATTCTCAGATCAGCTCCCCCAAGAACTACATGTGGATCACTTGCAGCTTGCACCCTTGGTAAAGACAAGAGTCTAAACAGCGTGGTATCCATGCTCTTTCCTCCCAATAGTTTGTTAGTCTGGGAGTTCTTTTTGTTGGTTTCTTCTGTGTTTTGAGTTTGTGACCACCGGAAAACACCTTCAGATAGTATGTATTCTGTAAATTCTATGAAACACAGTTGCTAAGCCCACTAAGACCTGGAAACCACCGATTAGGAAGTTCAGTATGATACTTAAGTGAACATAACTGATTTGTGCTCTTCTGTTCAAAACGCGAACCCACTGCCACTGAGTCCATTGTAACTCATAGTGATCCTGTAGGGCACAGCAGAAATGACCCTGTGGGTTTCTGTAAAGGCCAGTTCATGTAAGGGAGTAGAAAGCCTCATCTTTCACCCAAGGAGCAGCTGGTGGTTTCAAACTGCTGACCTTGCAGGTAACAACCCAATAAGTAACCCACTATGCCACTTCTTCCTTTAGGAGTTAGCATATTTCCAATAAACAATGAACCAAACTGCTTGCCATTGAGTAGATGTACACTCATGGCATCCCCATGTACAGAGCAGAACGCTGTTCCATAGGGTTTCCAATAGCTGCAATATTTTAGGAATAGAGAGCCAGATTTTCTCCCAAGGTATCTCTTGGTGGATTTGAACTGCCAACCTTTCAGGGCTTTACCATTTCTACCACCCAGGGATTCCCTTGAGTTAGGATAGTGAAAGTTAGAGCATAAAAAACCATCAATCAAATACTTACCAACTCTCAAGATACCTTCAGAAACAAACAAATAAACCGAAATTCACTATTATCCTGGTAATTTTGACTCAGAGTAACCCCATAGCATAGAATGGAACTGCCCCATATGGGCGTCCAAGGCTGTGATCTGGACAGGAGCAGAAAGTCTCGTCTTTCTCCTGTGGGCAGCTGGGGGATTTGAACTGCTTACTTTGTGGTATTCCCAAAGAGTATCCTAGGCAACTTATTTTACCTTTCTGCATCTCAGTAGATAATATTCATTTCTTCTGCCCCCCCTCCTGAGTTTGTTATAAGTGTATGCCAATAATAATCTGAATTTTTATTTTTGTTAGGGGAGAGAGAAAAAAAAAAGACTTCCCAATGAGCCAGAACCCAGTCCCATCAAGTTGATTTTGGCTCACCCAAGCAAGCCAAGTTCTGCCTGCGAGCCTATGCCAAATCATAGCAAACTATAGGACAGGGTAGATCTGCCCCTATGGGTTTCTGAAACTGTAATTTGTAATAAGAGTCAAATTACTCATCTTTCTCTTACAGAGTGGCTGGTGCTTTTGGTGTATAGCCCCAAAGTAGGGGTCTAATTCATACATAACCACTATAACGTCAGGGCTCCTATATCAGCTCACAGCCACCCTATGTGGGCTTCCCAAGGCTCTAAATCTGTAGTGGGCCAGCCGGTCTCAGCTTTGTCCCTCAGATAGATTGCTGGCTTGTGGTGGTTGAACATTTTCTAAGTATGACTTATGGTGATGGATCATTTCCAAGTGCTTTTTAATATTGCATCTTCTACCACTCCAGACAGCCTCATTCTACTGTTAAGCTGCTGGTGAGTTTATACCACTGACCTGGCAGTTAGCAACCAAATGCCTAACCCACAGCACCACCAGTGATGGTTTCCTAAAGAATGGGATCCGCAAGAACCTTGCAGTTCCGCTGGTTGGCTCTGTCTAGGTCATAAAGGGGTGCAGAGGCCAGTCGAAGGAATGTCCAGTCTGCTTTTGCATCTTACACCATGACATTCAGAACCAAGCTATTTAAAACCCCCGAAAATTATACAATATTCAATAAGAAGAAAACTGATTTTTAGGGCCATGAACAGTCTCAGATGATAAATTTAGATAAAGCTACAAGCTATTTACCATTTCATATGCAAAACTCTGGCCGTGAGACTTTTTCAGTCTTTGGGAGCAAGGTAAGCCCACTTCTCAAATGCAGCTTCATAAATATGCAGGCAGCCGTGATTGTAGTAAACACAGCAAAATATGCAACCGCTATTGCACTTCTCAATCAAATATGCTAAGCAGCTCTTCCATTCATTGTCCTGAATAAAGAATTCCGATGTGGCAAAACGACATCTATAAAAGATGAGTTGGAAATCTGTAAAGTCAATTGATTTAAAGAAAGAATGCAACACACTCATACAAACCCCTAGCTGAACCGGCATTTCTTTGAAGAGCTGCCTTTTGAAATAGGGCCGGGAGAAGATATTCGACCATGGGGCAGCTTGGTGAGTCTTGGTTTAATGGCCTCATTTGCATCCTGTGTAGGTATTCCATCGATCGTCACACCGACCTCGACAGGTTCTTCACTATTAATCCAGAGGATGGTTTTATTAAAACGACGAAGCCTCTGGATCGAGAGGAAATGGCCTGGCTGAACATCTCCGTCTTTGCAGCCGAAATCCGTGAGTACCCGCATTCGTGTGGGGATCCCTCCTCACTGAGTAGCAGCAACCCCGGCGGTGTTGAGTTGGTAACTGCGAGGTGGAAGGCTCAGACCCACCAGGGGCTCTTCCGTAGAGAGAGGAGGCTGCTTGCTCCTGTTAAGATGTACAGCCTTGAAAACCTACAGGGTCACTGAGTCAGAGACAACTCAATGGCATATACCCACATGTCCCTCTCGTATGTATGTACACACTCCAGGGGGCTTTATAAAGTTTGTGGAAAAATGGAACAAAGAGATAGGAATTTTTCCAAAAAAAAACATTTGGAAGCCGCTTTTATCTAGGTCAGTGGTTCTCAACCTGTGGGTTGCGACCCCTTTGGGGGTTGAACGACCCTTTCACAGGGGTCGCCTGGTTCATAACAGTTGCAAAATTACAGTGATGAAGGTGCAACAAACATAATTTGATGGTTGAGGGGTCACGACAACATGAGGAACTGTATTAAAGGGTTGCGACACTAGGAAGGTTGAGAACCACTGGTCCAGATAGATAGCCTGAACCCACTGCCACTGAGTCAATGCTGGCTCATAGCAGCCTGATATAAGACAGACTCAAACTGTTCCCTTGGGGTTTCTGAGACTGTGAATCTCCATCGGAGCACACAGCCTTGGCCTTCTTCTGAGGAGTGCCAGGAAGACTTGAACCCCCAGCCTTGTAGTTGGCAGTTCAGTGCTTAGCCCACAGTGCTACCAGTCCCCTATTGAGTTTTATACGCACCTAAAAGTCAGCATTTACTGACAAAGCAACAAAACAAACTCACTGCCTTAAAGTCACTCCTGATTCATTGGGACCCTACAAGAAAGGGTAGAACTGCCCCGGTGTGTTTCCAAGACTGTAAGTCTTTACAGCAGTAGAAAGTGCCAGCTATTTCCCATGGAACAACGGTTGGTTTCAAACTGCTGATCTTGTGGTTTGCAGCCCAAAGCATAACCCACCATGGCACCAGAGCTACACATAGCATAAAACCTGTAAAAATGGGGACCTGTCAATTTTCCCACCGGAACAGCGAGCTATAGGTAGGGCCTGGCTACTGATGTCAGAGGTGAAAAACCGGCCAGACCTGGACAAGCAGGTGGTCCCCTTGTGTCACTGGGGAGTGGCCAACTAATTTTGTGTGTGTGTCTTAGACCGTTTTTTGCAGGGCCCCCAAATGAGTTGTACTCATCTCCTTAGTAAGACAGACAGACAAATAGAGATATTCCCATTGCCTCTGGCCAAGCAGAATACGGCTTTGGAAAGGAAGCCAAGAGTCATGGAGCCCTTAGGGCTGGGAGGGGAGTGCTTGCTTATTCAGAAACCGGCGAGCCTCAAACTTGATTGCCTGGCAGAAACTCATGGTGGGCTTGTTCACTGCTCCCCCCTGGCCCCCGGTCTCTGATTTAGTTGGTGGCTTTGTACCCAAGTCCCCAGGTGATCCCGGTGCCGCTCTGAGAACTGTGCTGTAGACTGACTGCTCTGGGGGCAGGCCCCATGGCAAGTGTTCAGAATGAAACCAAGCCTGGAGACCACAGGAGTGCAGACATGGTTGTGGTGTTGTTGTTGTTGTAAGCTGCTGTCCAGGTACCCGCCCAGTCTCCACCCCAGGACCTCACGCACAGTGGTCCTCACGGTTTCCCTAGGCTGACTTGTGGAACTGGCTAATCTTCACATCCATTCCAGGACTGTCCCCTCACAATGGACTGAACCTAACCCCCATTGCAGATGGCTTTTGGACCAACAGTGGCTTTCCCTGTCTTGCTCAAATAGTCAAAGGAGCTTCCTCTTTCTCGGGGCCCAAGGACCATTCTTCCCTGACATTGACTGAATTCTCTCCTTCCAGACAACCGCCATCAGGAAGCCAAAGTCCCTGTGGCTGTTAGGATTCTGGATGTCAACGATAACGCCCCCAAGTTTGCAGCCCCTTATGAAGGCTTCATCTGTGAGAGTGATCAGACCAAGCCTCTTTCCAACCAGGTAACATGTCCCCCGCCCCACCCCACTCCCTGGCCACGAGCAGTGCATCACCTGCAGGTCCCTCCCCCATGTACCAGGGGTCCTTCGGCCCTCCTTTGGCTCCGGAGCTCTGCTCGCTAATTAAAACTGGCTTTTCAAGGCAGCCAGAAAATTTTGGAATAAATGATGTGCCCATGTCAGCATGATTTATTTATGGGCCACCTTTCTCTTTCAGCCAATTGTTACAATTAGTGCAGATGACAAGGATGACACAGCCAACGGACCAAGATTTATCTTCAGCCTGCCCCCGGAAATCATTCACAATCCAAATTTCACCGTCAGAGACAACAGAGGTTCGTACCCCAGTTCTTATGCTTTCCGAGCAGTAGAAACGGGAGCCCCCATGTGTGTGCTAATAATGCCTGCCCGGTGGAGAACAAACAAGAAATCCTGATGCCACCTCTGTGTGGAGACCTGGGTGCCTGTGAATGAGTGAATCGAATGCTAGTCTGCTTTTTTTTTTTTTTTTAATTGACGTTGATATTCATGAAGCATTGAGAAAACCAAGTGGGGAAGCTTCACAGGGTCAATATGCAAACAACTTCATTTATCTTTTTCCATTTTTTTGGAAGAGGCTGGTAAACCCTCGGGGGTGGGAAGCATGCCTTTATGAATACTAATGTTGAGGAAAGCACGGAGAGATTGATTCATCCCACTTGGTGAGGCGACGGACGGAGTGCTTTGGCTTATAGCCGCTCCTTCCTAGGCCACTTGGAAGGCAGATTGCAGGGTGATAGAGCTTGATCCCCAAAGGTGGCTGCAGAACTGTGGCTCACGGGGTGTAGACCCGAGTGTTGTTTGTGTGCTGTAGACCCCGCTGTTGGTTGGGTTGGTTCAGGAGGCTCCAGATGGACAGCTGATCAGGGGTGGCTGCCCCAGTGGTATGGGCTTAGACTGATGAAGGCCTGAGCAGGCATCTCTTATAAGTCAGGGACAGGCAGATGATCCCTTCAGGACCAGTGGTGTGCGTGGTGACACGGGGGGATAGAGGGAGGGTGGGGTGGAAAGAGGGAACCGATTTCAAGGATCTACAGATAACCTCCTCCCTGGGGGACAGACAACAGAAAAGTGGGTGAAGGGAGACGTTGGACAGTGTAAGACATGACAAAATAATAATTTATAAATTATGACGGGTTCATGAGGGTGGGGGGAGCAGGGAGGGAGGGGGAATGTTTTGAGAATGATGAGGGCATTGGATGTACAAATGTGCTTTACACAACTGATGTATGTATGGGTTGTGATAAGATGATTTAAAAAAAACAAAACAACAAGAGACACATGCCATTATCCACATGGGATTTAAGTGGGGCCTCTGGAGTGTATATGTTTTCATTAACTAAGATGCTTGTCCAGGTATTGGGTTGCTTGCTTCCCCAGGGACTGGTCAGGCTCTTAGGATCTAAAGCTAACCTAGCCAGGATCATTCTCCCCCTCCCCCATCACTCATAGAACCCTCACCTTAGCAAGATCACCCACAGCAACATGATTACTATCTATGCTCAACTCATAAAATGTTCTCAGCGACTTATTTGAAATGATGTGCAACAAAGCATACTCCAATTCAGTAGTTCCTACATGGACAACCCGTGGTCACTGATGACGTTCTTTGAGTTGGGCAACCATTCTCATCTCTTTTGCCGAGTTGTCCCTATGCCATTAGTGTAAACGCAGTGCCCCCTAAGCTTCCTAGCTAGCCTTTTGAGTTCCCATCCCCGCTGGGATGCCAAGCCAACACTTTTTAAAAGAGCATGCTGCTCAAGGCAGACCTTTCTCTTTCTCATTTATTTTCAGGAAGACTGCAGATGTTTTGGGTTTAAGTTTTATTGCTTATCTCAATGCATTCCTTTTAGGGATTCATCCAGCCCTCTTGACTCCGTAGAATCTAGGGTCTTCGACAATTTGAAATTATATTGTGTAGTTTCCCCCTTGGGATCGCAATTCATCTATAGAATCTTTGATCAAAATGTACAGTAAGGGTAGCTGGACACCATCTAGTTCTTCTGGTCTCCTGGCAAAGGAGGAAGTTGTTCATGGAAGCTATTAGTAATATATTTCATGTCCTTTTCCGATGCCCGTCTCCCCTTCCTCTCTTGACGACTACTTCTTTTGATTATCTGGTTTATCACCTATTTGGGGTATAAACTGCAGGCTGATAGCATCTTTCCCTTATATTTGAGCTCTAACATTTGGTCATATTCCTAGTGATACCCTACCTGTCTTCTTATACATCCTGCAAACAGACATCTTCCCTAGGCTTTTCTCAACATGTCGACTCTGCCTACACCGACTGCCTTGTCTTTTCCCTTTTAATATGTGCAATAATATTTAGTTGCTGTTAACCTCTGAAAATACTATATGAAGACATACTGTTCTCTTGGGATTTGGGAGCATTGTACTTTGTCACACTCCTTCAGGGATGCGATCTATATCTGCAGGGAAATTATATTACTGAGTAAGCCAGCCTACTGCACAATCCATCTCCTTCACCCTCCCCTGGAAAAGCCTAATCCGATGGTCGAGCTAGCCCTTTTGCAGGGAATTGCTACTTTTTAAGAAAAATGACTTTATTAACCATGGCAAACACTTCAAGAAAACCCCCATGTTTAGAGCTATTACGGAACCTTAACGCAAATACAGTCCTATAATTATCATTTAATAGAGTTTCTTTCTACTAGCTCCTAAAAGTAATTACATATTTGAAGTAATCCAAAAGGAGTAATCACATTCCACATCCTATTAATAGCCTACTGAGTTACCAAATTTCTCGGCCGAGACCGTTTTCCATAGAAAACACGAGATAATGGTTTATATCATGCTGAGTCAAAGCATCCCATTCCTTTCTCCGTGAGTGTTTACTTGCTTTATGCCATGTAAATAATCAGTATTGTGTTTGCCTAAACCCTGCATCAGCATCCAGCTTCTTTAGGAACGTGAGAGGGAATGCCACACCGATGCCAGGCAGGCTTTTATTGCATTTCATCGCACTCCACTGGACGGCCCAGGCTCCTCTGTGGCTCAGCAGGCAGCAGGAAAGCCCAACCCCGGGTGGCTCTTCAGCATTTGAATCCATCTTTCACTATGAGTATCAGGAAAGGTGCCCTTTGGGCAAAGGAAGAGCTGGTCCCGCCCAGGTTTTGAGATGCATTAACTTTGAAAATAGCAGAGGGGTGGGGCATCTCAAAAGACACAAGGACTGTGTAATGGATGAGAGGACAAAGGGACAAAACTAAAAGTTCAAAAGAAAAGAGCCACCTTCATCTCTCTCACTCCTCTTAGTGAAATCGTCTCCCATAACTCCTCAAATAGCCCCCAGCGTGGGCCTGTGGGGTGTGTTTGCCCCTGCTTTCTAGATGAGGAAGGAACGGGAGTCGCTGGAAGCTTTAATCTTGTCTCCAACACTTGGCATAAGGCAAAAAGCCAGCAGTGAAATGCCAGAATGGAGGGTCCAGTCTGAGGCCAAGGGCATGCTGTATTATGGTACAAAGCCCAATGGGAGTGCCTTTGCTATGTGATTCTTTCTTCAAAGCTTTTATTTATCTCAAGTGGTCATGTAACTAGCCACTTGGAAGAGGAGGGACTTGAAATCCAATTTAAAGATAGAAGCTCCAAGAGAAAATGTGAAGAGGGCCGAGGACCCAGGTCCTGAAAGTGAATGCTGTGACCCTAGTCACCCTACAGGACAGAGTAGAATTGCTCCAGCAAGTTTGTGAAGCTCTAAATCGGCGGTTCTCAACTTGTGGGTCGCGACCCCTTGGGGGGGGCGGGTCTAACCACCTTTTCATAGGGGTCGCCTGATTCATAACAGTAGCAAAATTACAGTTGAGAAGTAGCAACGAAAATAATTTTATGGGTGGGGTCACCACAGCATGAGTAATTGTATTAAAGGGTCGTGGCATTAGGAAGATGGAGAACCGCTGCTCTAAATCTTTATGGAAACTGTCTCATCTTTCTCTGGGGGAGCATCTGGTGGGTTTCAGGCACTGACCTTTTGGTTAACAGCTTAGCCGTGATCTCCCTGCGCCATGACGGTCTCCTTGCATGAAGGACAAACGCTTTAATTTCTATTCTAATGATAGCCATAATAATTAAAACCAATATATTGGCAAAGCATTTTCTAATTTTCTTCTATTACACATTTATGATGTATTTTGGGGAGAAAATTAGGAGATGCAAGCAGAAATAAGATGAAAAAGGAAAATAACTTGATAACGTGCTATGCAGAAATAAGCACTACTTTATACACCCTTCCATCTCTTCTTTGCATATTTTTCTTCCTTTAAAAAGTACAATGATAAAATAGAACCCATTCTCCCCCACTTAATGTTTGACATACATTTTCCACATCAACAGATCGATGCCAACTTTTAGTTCTCTTCTTAATGCCAACATGATTGGTCATGATACCAGTGGAATATTGTTATGGAAGGACATTGTCTTGGTTGCCCAAAAAATGTCCTATAATAGGATTGCTGGACCAAAAAGCCTTCATCAGCAAACTGCCCATCAGAAATATGACACCAAGTTATAATTCCATCAGTAAAATAGGAAATGTTTCATTTTTCTCACATACATGCCAATTCTAGATATTATTGTGCTTTTTAATTGTTGACAGGAGCCCTGGTGGCATAGTGGGCTGCCAACCGCAGGATCTGCAGTTGGAAATCACCAGCGCTCCAAGGGAGAAACATGGAGCTTCCTATTGACCTAAAGAGTTAGTTACATCTGGAAACCCACGGGGGCAGTTCTAGTCCACCCTACGGCAGGCTCGCTCTCAGTCAGAATCCACTCGATGGCAGTGAGTGAATCAAGGGCAAATTCATAAGTGGGGTACAATCCTGTCTTAAACTGTCCATTTCTTTCTAGACAGATGAAGCTGAGAATTTAAAAATATGTAATTTTTCATATGTTTGAAATGAACTTGTATGCCACTACAGAGTCCAAGTCCACTTCGCTTTTACTTTTCCTCCTTTTTCAGCCACTCAGACCAATCTTTAGATCTGAGGGGTAAGGCATGTGGAGGGTTTTAAGGCTGTGAGCCCCTCTCTCACTCTCACTATCTCTCTGGTTTATAAAGAAGCGTATTCTATGCAGTTGCACAGCCCCATCTCAACAAATGTAATCTGGAATCATATCCTATTACACCCCCACCCATGCTCTCTCTTTCCCCTTCCATCCTTCCTACCCACTCCGCAATTTCTGATCCCACCTCCCACCCCACTGCTGTCCCTAGCTTCCTCAGTCTTCACAATCTTTTCTTTTGGTTTTTGTATTTCTCCAGATATAATTTAGGATTGCTTTTCAGATGCCGATAAATACCTTTGTCCACTTTAACGAGTGCACCTGAAGTGTCTAGATTACTTCAAGAGCTCAATTGAAAGAGTCTTCCAGTCAGGACCCACCGTCTGGCTTTCCCTCGAGCCAGCTGCTTCTCTTTGCAGTAGCGCCAGCTGTGCGTTGTGGCTTTCTAGGGTTTGGGCCTAGGCATTTCTTGTCAAGTTTTTGACTAGTTAACATTTGGGATGCTCTTGTCAAGTGGATTTTTACATGTGACCTTTTCAGGATACAGTGTATGGGACAAAAAAACTCGATTCTAACTCACATCAGCTCTATAGAACAGAGCAGAACTGCCCCATAGGTTTCTGACACTTAGTTGTTACAGAAACAGACTGCCACACCTCGCTCCCTTGGTGCATCTGGTGCGTTCACACCGCCTATGTTTCAGAGGGCTTTATCCACTGTCCCTCCAGGGTCCTCGAGGGTAAAGTATAGCTGTTTTGATTTAGCTATTATTAGACATTGTTCTTATTTTTAATATACTGTGAAATATTTATTTCATGGGGGGCGGGGCTCATACAACTCATCACAATCCATACATACATCCATTGTGTCAAGCACATTTGTATATTTGTTGTCCTCATCATTCTCAAAACATTTCCTTTATATTTGAGCCCTTGATATCAGCTCCTCATTTTTCCCCTCACTCCCCGGCCCCCACCTCATGAACCCTTGATAATTTATATGTCATGTCTTACACTGCCTGATGTCTCCCTTCACCCACTTTTTGGTTGTCCATCCCCCAGGGAGGAGGTCACATGTAGATCCTTGTAATCGGTTCCCCCTTTCCAACCCACTCTCCCTCTACCCTCCCAGTATCACCACTCACACCACTGGTCCTGAAGGGATCACCCACCCTGGGTTCCCAGTTCCTATCTGCACCAGTGTGCATCCTCTGGTCTAGCCAGACTTGCAAGGTAGAATTGGGATCATGATAGTGGGAGGAGGTGGGGAGTAGGGGGCCTGGGAGGACAAAGCAGTAAAGAACTAGAGGAAAGTTGTATGTTTCATCGTTGCTACACTGCACCCTGACTGGCTTGTCTGCCCCCTGCGACCCTCCTGTAAGGGGATGTCCAGTTGCCAATAGATGGGCTTTGGGTCTCCACTCCGCATTCCCCTTCATTCACAAGAATATGATTTTTTTTCTTCTTCGATACCTGATCCTGGACATTGTGCTTAGCTGAGTCTCTTGGGTTTTCTAGAAAGGTGACCGTATCAATACTAAGTAGTGGTAATTTGCCTTATCGTTGTTTATTTTCTCAAATAACTGCAGAGATTCTCACTTCTTGCTCAGTAGCAGCTAAGATAACGGCTATTCTTTCTTGACTTTCAACTTTAAAGGGAACGCTAGTTTGAGAGTTTTACTAATAAGGCTATTATCAGTTGTTGGATTAAAATTCATGTTTGTGGGGTGCGTGCGTGTTAGGGAATTAGCCGCCTATTATTATTTTAAAAATGGATGTTCAATTTACAGCCCAAATAATATTTGGCTTCTAACAAGATGATCTTGTCCTTTGGGTAATGATTTGCAAACGTAACAAAACCCAAGTTGATGATCACAAATCTGGATTGACTCGGTTGTAAGGAACTAGTGGTTCTGAGTCTCAGATTTGTATTTCTAAACCTGTTTTTGTAAATGAAGATCATTTTCATAAGGTAGACTGGAAAGAAGGAAGGTTAGAGAGGAAACCCCTGGCTTTGTACTTCATCTCTAAAATTGAGCAAGATGCTGATCTTTAAGACCTTGGTATTTTAGCGTAAATTACTACGTTTTAAAGCACGAAGAATAGTTCTACCATTTCCAATATATGGAAAGAACTGCTCTCTTAATTGAGGGACACAGGAAACTAACAACAACGTGTGGACGCCGCCGGTGACGCACTTCTTGGGCTTCATGTTTTGCAGTAAACCATTTCCAGAGAAGTTGGAAACATATACGATCATGGAGGTTCCTTAGCTGTTAGAACATCATTTTAAGAACTTGTTTTTAAGTATTTAGAATTTGTAGTAAGTTTCTGTTATAACAAAACCCAACAGGCTCTTAGCACTTTCGCCTTCTTGATCCTGGTGTGTCTTCCCACCAGGTGCAGTAATAGTGCTGCTACTGAACAAACTGTGGATGTCCTAGTATTCCAACACAGCTGTCACCACCCTTCCTTAGTCATGGAAGGATGAGCTGTTCCCATGTGCTGTGTGTCGGAGTGGGCCTCCCACAGTGAGGCAGACACTGCCCTTGATGTCAAGGAGTTCGGCAAAGCACATTCGGAGAAGTTCCCTTGAGAACAAAAAGCGGATTTTGATGGAAGTTCTCAATGGCTTCCCACAAGGTCTACTTGACTTCAGCTTCTTCTACACTTGACCCCTGGTGGTAGGGTGGTTAAGAGTTTGATTGAGATCCACGTGGTCTGCAGTTCAGAACCACCAGCAACCCCAAGGAAGAAAGACGTGAGTTTCTACTCCTGTACACAGTTACAGTCTCAGAAAACCCACAGGGGGTAGAGAGGTCACTATGAGTCAGCATTGATGGTCGTGAGCTTATTCAGTTCTTAACAAGGGACATACGGTGTGTCTTGCTTTGTTCTGATGGGAGGTAGCCAACACTTCAGAGCTAGTCAACAAGAAGTTATGTGATGTAGCCCCAGTAATGTTTACCTCCATCTACTTATCCCTTTCACCTTACGCTCCAGAAATGTCAAGCCCCATATATTCTAGACACTAACCTTACTATCAACAGTTCAAATCCACCAGCTGCTCAAACGGGGGACGATGAGGCTTTCTATGCCTGCAAAGGTTTACAGTCTGGAAAGCCTCAGAGGCAGTTCTACTCTGTCGCTATGAGTTGGAATTTGCTTGACCTTCCCACACCTCCATGTTTGCGTCCTGCTTAGAATGGCTTTGGGTGAGATATGGTTAACACATTTGGGTGGCTAGCCAAAATTTTGGAGGTTCCTCAGGAGGAGGATCTGGCGATCCCCTTCTGAAAATCAGCCCTTGAAAGCCTCTCAGACCGTGACACACATGGGGGTTCTCCATGAGGCAGAGTCTACATGATAGCAACTGGTTTAGCTTATTTTTCTCCTTCATGTCTATCTTCAAATGAAGTTGGCTCCTGGCTGAGGCTGTGCTATGTCTCGCCAGATCATTCTAGATCAGCGGTTCCCAACCTGTGGGTCTCGACCCCTTTGGGGGTTGAATGACCCTTTCACAGGGGTCGCTGATGACCATATTTCCAATGGGCTTAGAAACCGCTCCTCTCTCCGTCTCCAGGCGGGTCGGCCACATACAAGGTCACCACCACATGAGGAACTGTGTGAAAGGGTCGCAGCATTAGGAAGGTGGAGAACCACTGTTTTAGATTTGTCCTTCTGCCATTTCCAGAAACACCGCACTAGCCTGTATTATTTTCCTTACTCTGTCTCTTACAGTATACATCTCTCCGTCTCTCTCCCAGGAGAAACACAGCTCTGTGAGGGCAGTAACCCCACCCTTGGGAAAATGGGTTGACTAAGTAGGTCAATGAAAGTGACCTACAAGTGGATGGGGAAGTTTTTATTATGTAAAGTAGTTAAGAAATTTCAGGAAGGAGTTATTTTTATTGAAAAATGATTATATGTTTGAGGTTAACATCAGGCAGAAAAAGAAAACCCTTCTTTTGATACTGGACTATTCTGAAGGAGCCATTAGCCCATCCCCTACCCCTTTCATCCATCCCTTCATTTCTTCTCCGTGACGTTTTGAAGGAACCCTGGTGGCGTTGTGGTTAAGAGTTGGCCTGCTAACCTCCAGGTCAGCAGTTCTAAATCACCAGCTGCTCCTTAGGAGAAAAACAAAGGCTTTCTATTCCTGTAAAGAGTGCCAGTCTCAGAAACCCACCGGGGGCAGTGCTACCCTGCCCTATAGGCTGCTAGGAGTCGCCATCCACTTGATGGCAGTGAGTTTGGTTTAAGTTATATTGAAACCTAGAATTTGGATTCAGGAAGAAATCATTGTCAAATGTGTTTATTTTACAAGCGAAACATTCCTTGTTTATCAACCTGATTAGGTTCCAAAGACCAAGTCCTTTTAGAAAACGTACCTTTACCTTACCTACTGCCATCAGTCAACTCCGCTTCATAGTGATCCTATATAGGGGTTTCCAAGACTGTGATTCATTACAGGGTGAGACACCGTCAGCTTTCTCCTCCTGATCAGTTGATAGATTTGAACTCCTGACCCGAAGGCTTACCCAACAATGGCAAAATTGGTATTGTGCCCACCCCCCAAAAAAGGATAGACATATCAGGTCAGAAAACCGAGGATGACTAAATCCTTGCATGGCTGCCAAAATCCATCATTACCTGCGCGCCCAACCATTGAGACCCGTGGGCCACCAAAGTTGATGCAGCCTTAATCGTCACAACCACCAGTGAGCTCCCTACATTCTTCGGTCTTCGTTACGTTGTGAATACTCAAGGTAATGGGGAAGTAGATTTGGTTGACCACTGCCACACATTTAAAATGCCAGCTAATGAGATAGTTCAGTGAAGAGTAGGTTTGGTATGAAGGAGTCCCCGTGGCACAGTGGGCTCTGCCTTGGCCTGCTGACTATTACCCCCAAGATGAGCCCAGTTCTTTTGTAGTAAGCGAGTTCTGAGACATTCCGAGCTCTGTCTGCACTGTCTAAGAACCATTTGTTCTGAAAGCCAGGA